CCTTGTCCAAGATATGGGTAAAGGCGTAGAATCTCATATAGAAAATTCATTGCTGTTCTCGAAAAAAGTACTATTTTTTATTCTATTAAAAGCGTAGAATTTCATATGGAAAAAAATCATTGCTGTTCTCAAATACAAAATACCATTATTTATTCTAATAAAAGTGTAGATTTCATAGGAAAAAATTATTGCTGTTCTCAAATACAAAATACCATTATTTATTCTAATAAAAGTGTAGACTTTCATAGGTAAAAATCATTGCTGTTCTCAAATACAAAATACCATTATTTATTCTAATAAAAGTGTAGACTTTCATAGGAAAAAATCATTGCTGTTCTCAAATACAAAATACCATTATTTATTCTAATAAAAGTGTAGACTTTCATAGAAAAAACATTGCTGTTCTCAAATAAAAAATACCATTATTTATTCTAATAAAAGTGTAGACTTTCAAAGGAAAAAAAATCATTGCTGTTCTCAAATACAAAATACCATTATTTATTCTAATAAAAGTGTAGACTTTCATAGGTAAAAAATCATTGCTGTTCTCAAATACAAAAATACCATTATTTATTCTAATAAAAGTGTAGACTTTCATAGGAAAAAAAAATCATTGCTGTTCTCAAATACAAAAAAATACCATTATTTATTCTAATACAAAAAAAGTGTAGACTTTCATAGGTAAAAATCATTGCTGTTCTCAAATACAAAATACCATTATTTATTCTAATAAAAGTGTAGACTTTCATAGGTAAAAATCATTGCTGTTCTCAAATACAAAATACCATTATTTATTCTAATAAAAGTGTAGACTTTCATAGGAAAAAAATCATTGCTGTTCTCAAATACAAAATACCATTATTTATTCTAATAAAAGTGTAGACTTTCATAGGAAAAAAATCATTGCTGTTCTCAAATACAAAATACCATTATATATTCTAATAAAAGTGTAGTCTTTCATAGGTAAAAATCATTGCTGTTCTCAAATACAAAATACCATTATTTATTCTAATAAAAGTGTAGACTTTCACAGGAAAAAATCATTGCTCTTCTTGACAAAAATTGTTGATGTAATATTCTCTCGCAACAATACGTATTATTCTTATTGTTACACTCTAAAATATGACTTAATTAGCCCATAAAGGGTTGATAAGACGTAAAACAAAAATCAGTAGACCAATGAGACTATATCTCACACGCATAGCATTATATTTTATTTCACTTCAGTCTTTGGTAGTTACTGTCGCCCAACTTGTCTCTTTTCTTTCCCTATCCCTATCTATCCGTCTTATTTTCTATGTGCGTGTGCATGTGTTTAACTCCGGAGCCCAAATTCGAACGTGGACCTTATATTCTCGTATGCGATGTTTAGGGTGGGTGTTTATATATCTACCCAACATACGGTTTTTACCACCCGTACCCATTACGTGTTCGCTGGAATCGTGTGAGAACGTGGACTTGCACTTGGTGGGCAAGAGTTCATCTGTCAGGCCTACTCGTCGATCCACATGTATTTCCTGATGTAAAATAGACTTCATTTTAAACAGCATTCATTTTGAATTTAGTTACTGTGAACACACACACACACACAATTATATATATATATATATATAATTATATATATATATATATATATATTATTGCTCTACTTTTGTATTGAACCCTGTTTTAAATTAATGTTTTGAATGGTGTAATTTTATTCTTCACTTTTACATTTGGGTATATATATATATATATATATATATATATATATATATATATATATATATGCATTTCGGATTTTCTTAGATGCTATTAAATAAGATAACGCTAGACGAACATCCGTAGCTGTATCGCTACGTCTAAAAATCTAAAGCAATTGCATTTGTCAGCTGTCAAACTGGCTGTTGTCTTGTGCGTTCGGTCCAGATAATATCAGCGAGATACAGACAAATAAACGAGTTTTTAAGACAAGACAACCAAATTAAAAATTCATATATAGCCTAAACTGAATATATATATATATATATATATATATATATATATATATATATATATATATATATATACATGGTTATAAAATCTGATGTATATTCACGTCTTTGATCGGAGAAACTTTTTCTTTCTCTTTCAAGTGTGCTCCATCCGCAAAGCGATATTTGGAATACTTGTGGTCGAAGTTTATTGATAGTTTAAGGATGTCCATCCTCATTGGGGAATTCATTTCGATAGCTTTTGAGAAGATTAATTTCAACTAAATATAAAAGTACACCTGTTAATAAAATCATATTCTAGTGTAGCCTTGTCCCAGATATATTGGCGATGAATAAATATCGGAGTTCTGTATTTCCACAAAAACGCATATTTTTGTATATGGAAAATTTCCCCGAATATTCAGGCCAGCGGACGAAAATAAATATACTGCTTAATAAATAAACGACGCGTTTACTCAAATGCTAGAATCCACTAAAATAGCATTTAAATTGATATATATATATATATATATATATATATATATATATATATATATATATATATATATATATATATATCAAGTATAGGATTGGTGTATACATGAATAAATTCTAATAACCAACAAATACTATTCTTAAAAGAGTACCCAATACAGAGAGTAGAGCAAATATAATTATTTATTCGAAAATTATAACATAAATAATAAATTCAACACCATCACTTGATAAGTCACCAGAAGTGTTGAAACAAATTGGCTATTTTTTGTGATTTCATACCATATTTATGTTATAATTTTCGAATACCATATTATATGTTATATATAAATTTATATATATTTATATATATATATATATATATATATATATATATATATATATATATATATAGAAAATATAGTCTTAAGGTGTGCTATATTTATGGGATAAAGTGCTCAATATCAGAGATGGAGAGCGTGTGTAAATATAAAAGTAAACACAGAAGTCAACACTCAGAGGCGACATTCTGTTTCATGCTAGATGCAATCGTCAGGCCATCTAGCATGAAACAGACTGTCGCCTCTAATTGTTGACTTTATGTTCTTTTATATATATATATATATATATATATATATATATATATATATATATATATATATATATATATGAAATGGAAAAGATGCGCTATCCAGCAGTTGGTACTAATGATGCTCTCGTCCACTGCCCGACCGATTGTTTTTTTTTTCCAGCCGCTCCTTTTTTTCCTCAACGCCTCCCCTGGAATCTTCCCTCTATCTATGGAGGTGTTACCGCCCATTTTGCAAATCGGAGATTTAAATCAAGAAACCCCGTTTTTAATTTGTTCTAAAGAAAGGAGGACTTGGCAGTGTGGTGGACGACATGCAACTTTCTGCTATCTGAGATGAATAAGTGGCGTAGTGGCGATGGAAAGGGGGAGGGGGTGAAGCGTCAGGGAGGGATTTTAGAAAAAGTAATCCCCGTTCACACGCACGTACCGGCCTTTGGCCTGGGGAAGGTTAACCAATCTGTTCGCTTGTTTGTTTGTTGACATAGAATAATAAGTTCTTTGATTGATGATGGAAGTGACCTTGTCGAAGAGCTAGGAATATTGACTCGGTAAGAAAACAATAAATAAAAGAAAGAAAGAAAGAAAGAAAGAAAGAAAGAAAGGGAAGAGCATTGAATGAATGACAAAAAAGACAAAAAGAGGATCGGGTTTTGAAAAAGAAAGAAAATGTAATAATAGAATAGTGGACGGATGAATTTAAGAAAGAAAGAAAGAAAGAAAGAAAGAAAGAAAGAAAGAGAACAATAAGTAATTAAGAAAGAAAGAAAGAAAGAACAATAAGTACTTAAGAAAGAAAGAAAGAAAGAAAGGAAGAAAGAAAGAAAGGAAGAAAGAAAGAAAGAGAACAATAAGTAATTAAGAAAGAAAGAAAGAAAGAAAGAAAGGAAGAACAATAAGTACTTAAGAAAGAAAGAAAGAAAGAAAGAAAGAAAGAAGAAAGAAAAGAAAGTAATTAAGAAAAGAAAGAAAGAAAGAAAGAACAATAAACTTTAAGAAAGAAAAGAAAGGAAGAAAGAAAGAAAGGAAGAAAGAAAGAGAACAATAAGTACTTAAGAAAGAAAGAAAGGAAGAAAGAAAGGAAGAAAGAAAGAACAATAAGTACTTAAGAAAGAAAGAAAGGAAGAAAGAAAGGAAGAAAGAAAGAAAGAACAATAAGTACTTAAGAAAGAAAGAAAGAAAGAAAGAAAGAAAGAAAGAAAGGAAGAAAGAAAGAAAGAGAACAATAAGTAATTAAGAAAGAAAGAAAGAAAGAAAGAAAGAACAATAAGTACTTAAGAAAGAAAGAAAGAAAGAAAGAAAGAAAGAAAGAGAACAATAAGTAATTAAGAAAGAAAGAAAGAAAGAAAGAAAGAAAGAAAGAACAATAAGTAATTAAGAAAGAAAGAAAGAAAGAAAGAAAGAAAGAAAGAAAGAAAGAAAGAAAGAAAGAACAATAAGTACTTAAGAAAGAAAAGAAAGAAAGAAAGAAAGAAAGAACAATAAGTACTTAAGAAAGAAAGAAAGAAAGAAAGGAAGAAAGAAAGAAAGAAAGAGAACAATAAGTAATTAAGAAAGAAAGAAAGAAAGAAAGAAAGAAAGAGAACAATAAGTAATTAAGAAAGAAAGAAAGAAAGAAAGGAAGAAAGAAAGAAAGAAAGAACAATAAGTAATTAAGAAAGAAAGAAAGAAAGAACAATAAGTACTTAAGAAAGAAAGAAAGGAAGAAAGAAAGAAAGAAAGAAAGAAAGAACAATAAGTACTTAAGAAAGAAAGAAAGAAAAAGAAAGAAAGAGAACAATGTAATTAAGAAAGAAAGAAAAAAGAAAGAAGAAAGAAAGAAAAGAACAATAAGTAATTAAGAAAGAAAAGAAAAGAACAATAAGTACTTAAGAAAGAAGGAAAGAAAGAAAGAAAGAAAGAAAGAAAGAATGAAAGAAAGAAAGAAAGAAAGAAAACGCAATGAAAAGAAACAAACAGAAAAAAGTAAGGAAATGTAAGCGGAGGTTACTTGAAACTGCTTTATAGAGAGAGAAGGAGGACTGCTTTAATGAGAGAGAGAGAGAGAGAGGGGGGGAAGAAAAGACGAAGGCGTGTGAGATGTTTCATGGGACAGCCTTAATGAGAAATGGAGGTGGGGGGAGAGTGATGGAGACGTTTCATGGGACAGCATTTCAGAGGGAGAGGACTAGAGAGAGGGAGATGTTTCATTGGGCTGCCTTAAAGAGCGAGAGGGAGACAGAATGAAAGGGAGATAGATAGAAAGAGAGAGGGGAATGGTTTTATGTTTCTTTGCCTTAGAGAGAGGGAAGCGATAGGGGGAGACTGAGTGGAAGATTTTTCATTGGACTGCCTTAATGAGAGAGGGGGAGGGGGAAAGTGAGGGAGAGAGTAATGGAGATGTTTCATGGACCTGCCTTAAAGAGAGAGAGAGAGAGGGGGAGTGAGTAATGAGAGTGAGAGATAAAGAGAAAGTAATGAGAGAGAGAGAATAATGAGAGAGCGAGAGAGAGAGGAGAGGAAAGGAAAACTTCTCTTAACCGACGCGTTTCGTCCTCTGATGGACTTCATCAAGGCAAATGTAAGAATATTATTTTGCGCCAGGTATTTATAAAGCTAAGAAAAAAATTCGTTAGTTCTAATTTTGTTTATAAATACCTGTTACAAAATATCCTTCCATTTGCCTTGAAAAGATATATATATATATATATATATATATATATATATATATATATATATATATATATATATATAATGCAGGATGTATGTGTGTAACGAATGCACGGCCGCAATTTTTCGACGGATTTGCACCAAAATTTACATGCACATGCTCCAAGTTAGCGCAAGGCCAAGACCGACTTTGCATTTCCCATCTCCCATCAATAGTGGAAATAATCGATTTTTTTCGTGCTTCTACGACAGTTTTCATGTAGTTTGCGGCCATTTTCACTGGCCAGATTGAGCTGAATAGCTGGCTGCCACGAATAGGCAGGAAGATTCTACTGGTCAGCGTGAGAGCCAACAGCTGACTGGCACGAATGTTAACTAGCATGCTAGCATGAAAAAAAAATCGATAGCTGCATTCGTCACAAGTGGGAAAAATTTAAATGTGCATGGCACTTTACTCCAATTGGCTCATTCGCTTGCTTAAACTCAACGTTGATTCTGATTCCGCAGAAATGGGTTGGGTGTGAAAAAGTATTTGTTGTTAACATTCTTTTTCATTCGGTTTTTCCAATTACAGAGTCCTTTTTTAAAGCTGATCGTTTTGTGTTCATTTTGTTTAGTTCTTTTTTCGTAACAGATTTAATGTTTAGTATAGACCTTAGAAAAAAAAAAAATTCGCAGTGTGAGAAAAGGCAAGAAGTAAGGCATGTAGCAACATCAGCACGGCAATGGGCACTCCTTTAAAGGCAAGGAAGGGCAAAAATATTTTAAGTCAAGTGATAGCAATTGCTGTATGAGTCGTACGATTTTTGAATCAAGCACGGGAAACGCCGGGCCATGCTATATATATATATATATATATATATATATATATATATATATATATATATATATATATAGTTTATGCAAAACTAGGTAATCCGTATGGGTAGACCCAAGGAGGATGATATATAAAATGTGTAATTTTCTTTTCATTTTTCATTTCAACTTTTGGAAGTAAAGTCTGATGATCCAGAACCCTTTAAAAGGGTTGTGGTGAAATAACTTATTACATGGAACCTTAAAGTGATCTGTTTTTATTCAAACAAATATATATATATATATATATATATATATATATATATATTCCATAATATAGTTTTAACTTAATTAGCTACTATATTTCTATAACATTCACTCCCCTCTAAATCTTCAAATGTCGAAAATATAATTAATTCTAATTTCTATATTCACCCCCCTCTCTATAACCTCTTTACACTATATATATATATATATAATTTATAAATTTCCACTGCCCTGAGAAGCTCTTCACCTCTTTTTCTATTACTCCTTTACATTCTTTTATCTATATATTTTAATGTTATATTTAAAGCCCCTTTTATTCGTCTTTTCATTATTAATTAATGTTTCATTCTTCATATAACATCAAATTAATGTCATAAGGTTAATATTCGGGTTTAATTTTATAAAACTTCTTCCCTTTAAAACAAAATACCTTCCACCCTCCCCTGATGCCTGTCCCGTGACCTTCGACTGAACGAAACATTAAAATCGATAAATTCTGATTTAGCTTTTACACTAGTGGGTTTTGTTTCACAGCTTTCACAGTTTGATTTCTATTTCTGACATGGGCTCGGGGGTTGGTAGGGTAGACGACAAATATTTTCGTCTGACGAGGTGGGCTATTCCCCATATGGGGTGATTTTAGATTTTATCTTTATATATATATATATATATATATATATATATATATATATATATATATATATGTGTGTGTGTGTGTAAAATTGATATTAAGGTGGACACCTAATGGCGGCATTTTATTTCTTGCTTAAACGCAATCTTCAGGCCATGCTCGACTATGTATATATGCTTGTCAATGGTGCATTATGGGTAGCAAGGTCTATTGTATTGTCTAAAAGTTATTGAGGATCTGAATGCCGTAGATATTGTACAATTTGGTTTGCTAACATTTTTACTCATTATTTATTAATGACCACTTGTCATTGGTTATTTTTATTACATTTAATATTGTGTGCATTTGTAGTTTGTTAATTTTTATATATTGATTTAGATTTTTTTGTTTATTTTATTTCTTTAAAATTTTTAAATTTTTTTTTGTATTTTTTTTAGTTTCTGTCTATATTTCTGAGATGAGGTATTATGTACACTATTTACATTATTCGGACTATTGCCCTCATCTTTGTCGCCATATTTATCACAACGTTTCGACCTTTCAGTATCTGTCTATATTTCTGAGATGAGGTGTTATGTACACCATTTACATTATTCGGACTATTGCACTCATCTTTGTCGCCATATTTATCATAACGTTTCAGCCTTTCAGTATCTGTCTATATTTCTTAGATGAGGTATTATGTACACTATTCACATTGCTCGGACTATCATCCTCATCTTTGTCGCCATTTTTATTACAACGTTTCGGTCGTTGTACGCTCCTGCCTTCTTCAGGTGGTTGGTATGTCGAACGGAACCCTTTATTTCGCTATATACATATCCTGAGCAACACAACGTTTTCTCCTCGAGACAATGTTTACAGTTTTGAGGTTCATTGGTGTAGGCTGAAGCCGTTTTCCTTATTTTCTAATTATATTTTTTGTGTGATTTGATTTTTGTTTTTGATTTCCCGGGTACGTTTACAAAGAATTGTGCTCTTCGCGTAAAAACTATTTGTAAAGGATGAAGTATGACCCACTTCATTTTTTATTTCTCCCTAAGAAAGGACACAATCGTATTCGATACTTTGCGCATGTTAGTTTGTTTTCTCTCTTGTTTTACGAATATTCACCGGATACAAGGCCCAAGAACCACTCAATGTAGAGGGTTACTGTGTTGAGTCATATTAGTATAGTAAAAGACAAGCGTTTGAGTTGAAGTAGACTTTAGAAGGGACCGGAAACCCAATCCTAAAGAGGAAACCAGCGATAAACCTCTACTCATGTTCAAATTACCATGGAGGATTATGAACCAGACGATAGGTTCCCCAAACTACTCCTATTGGGGAAGGAGAAAATCAGTTTGGGAATAAGATTTCAGAGTTGAACCAGTAATGTTAGAATTATAGAGTTGAAGTAGACTTTAGAAGGGACCGGAAACCCAATCGTAAACAGGAAACCAGCGATAAACCTCTACTCATGTTCAAAATACCATGGAGGATTATGAACCAGACGATAGGTTTCCCAAACAACTCCTATTGAAGAAAGAGAAAAATTAATTTGTGGATAAAATTTCAGGGTTGAAATAGACTTTGGAAGGAACCGGAAACCCAATTTTAAACAGGAAACCAGCGATAAACCTCTACTCATGTTCGAAATACCAGGGACGATTATGAACCAGACTTTAAATGCATCTACCTACTCCTATTGGGGAAGGAGAAAAACAAATTTGTGAATAAGATTTCAGAGTTGAACCAGTAATGTTAGAATTATAGAGTTGAAGTAGACATTAGAAGGAACCGGAAACATAGGAAAAATGGAGGAGAAGAGAAAAAATTAAAATGAAATAGTGAATAAAATTTCAGAGTTCAAGCGTTGGGAGTACAGAGCTGAAGCAGACTCTAGAAGACACCGGAAACCCTATCCCAAACAGGAAATAAGGAACAAGCTTCCAATCCTGTTTAAAAGACAGTGGAGGAGTGTGTGCTCCAAATTTATTTTTAATTGTCAAATTACCAGTTAGTATGACACTTTCATCATTACAACTGGTTCCCCCACCCCTAAAAAAAACATCAATTACTTACGCCTTAACCAAATAAAGTCAAACTTTCACTTGAAACAAGTAAAAAATAGCTTCTATATGTATGTGACTTTGTGCAAGGACCTTTGGAATTTGCAACGAGGAGATTTTAAGAAAAATAGCAACAAAAAGTACATGTAAACTTCGAATCAGAAAAGCTTGACATTTCTGTGACAAATAAAGAGGAAAGAGGGCTTGGAAATATGACACTGACAAGACATTGAAGGCAAGGGAGGCAGAATAAAAGATGGAGTAACCAACCTAGCGAGATTGAATGAATGGATGATAGAAAAGGGATTGAAAAGGATTATGAAGAGACAAAAATTGCTAAGCGTTACAAAGGATAGGAAGATATGGAGAGCCATGATCACCCACTGCTTGAAGTGTACATAAAAGATGAATGTTGATTAACCTTATATTTTTCTGTATACGGTGCAAAAATGTATTTATTATATAGAAAATATTCCACGATCGATCGTACATAAACGAGGAGTATCATCAAATGTGAGACGGTGTATCTTACAAATGATTAAAGATATCTTACTGGAATACTCGAATAACATGTTCATCATTAATTAATCATAGCAAAGGCTCGAATGCTCATGAAGGATTGATGTAAAGTTATAATATATATATATATATATATATATATATATATATATATATATATATATATTCCAGGATCATTTCCCAGTGTATTGAAGATGATCTTCGCCCTCTCTAACCTTCTAACTTTCTGTCCTGGAGTAACAAGTTGCCTCAGTGTTTTCACGTACGATTTCATTTTCAAGTCTTTTTTACTGGTCTTTGGACAGTCATTGCTGAAACTGCTCTCACAAGTGCTAAAAGTCTTATGAATTGATTTGGCTCTATTCTAATTAATTTCTTTATCTCTAAGTTGAAATGACGATCCCTCTTCCAGTTGTGACCTCTTGATCCAGTTTCCTGTGTACAGTTCCCTCTATTTTAAACTTATTTACTGCTCTTTTGGTGTTCCTTGAATGGATTTGAAGATAGGAACCAGAGTATGAATGTTGGTAACATTAATGAAGGCCTAAATGATCATTTTCCGCTCTCCATTGCTCAATTGGGAAGACATGATGAGGCTGACACAAAACGATTTTAAGCTGTTCTATTTCTATCTGAATATCTCAAAGGATTTTTTCGTGATTTCTAGGATAAATGGTGTCAAGATGGCTAACGTCTTATCTCAAAACCTGGAAAAAAGAAATTAGTTGCGTGGTATTTTCGATATTAAACATTTTGTGGGATAGAAAATTATGATGTTACACGATTTGAACAATTTTGCTGTTACACCTGATACACACACACACGCACATTTACATATATATATATATATATATATATATATTATAGCCGAAAATATATAATTATTTATTTAAAAATATAATTCTTTATTTAAAAATATGATTCCAACGCTACATAAGAGTTCTCATGTTTCAAAACAAGAGCCGAAAACTTCAATATAATTATTTGAATTAAATTGAATTAAAGTACTAAGCTCAGTTCCATTTTTGTATCGAGCACTATTTTTTAAAAATAATAACAAAAAATAATTAAGAACTTTGGATTATTTACCTAACGAGTTCTTTTCTTATTTTCTATATATTTTACACACACACACACACACACACACACACACACACACACACACACACACATATATATATATATATATATATATATATATATATATATATATATAACATGTGTTCGAAGTCTTTTCTTTTCTGGAACAGAGTGTCCAGAAACTGTTCAAATGTTTTATAATTCCGAGCGCTTTCGGCTATACTTTTAGCCATTATCAAGCATGATTTTATTTTTTCAGTTTAATTGAGGGTGTGCGTTATGTGTTTTTTTTTAGTGTTATAGAGATGTTTTATTATCCGAACACGGTTAGCACATTATGGCCGTGTTCGAAGTTAATATTATTAAGTGTTGGCTTTTACTTTTTTTATTATTAAAATTAAAAAAACAAGATTAAAAAAAGATTAAAAATAATGGAAACCTTCATAATAAAAAAAGAAACAGCCAATACTTAATAATATTAACTATGAACACGGAAAAATGCGCTGACTGTGTTCGGAAAATAAAATATCCCTATAGCTCTAAAACATACACACAACCCATACACCTAATTAAAAAGCAAAAATAAAATCATCCTTGATAATGGCTAAAAGTATAGCCGAAAGCTCTCAGAATCACAGATCTTTTGGAGAGTTTCTACACACGCTGTGTCCCAAAAAGAAAACACTTGTTTGAATACAAGAAAAATTAAAGTGCTTAATCGTAGTACCTTGTCTGTCGTTTTTAATGAAACATATAATATATATATATATATATATATATATATATATATATATATATATATATATATATGTATGTATGTAGCTTACGGCCATATCACGTTTGAACATCGGTTCTCGTATGTGTGTGAGTGTTTTGTGTATTTTCTCTCTTCATTCTTTATTCTTTTACAATTTTGACACACTCGACATCACATGACCCTCAGCCAAAAGGCAGAGGTCAGGAGTCGAGGAAATCGGATCTTAAGCAAAACGTGGACCGAGAAAAGAGAAGCGAAACGAAACTCGCTTGAAGGTTGAAAGAGTCAGGTTGGATGTAAGTTGATTGGGGCGGAAAGACGTATAAAGAAGAAGTGAAAGAAAGAAAGAAAGAAAGAAAGAAAGAAAGAAAGAAAGAAAGAAAAGAGAGGGTAGCATGAAAATATTTTAAAAATATATTTAAAAAAAAAAAGAAAAAGCACAATGCTAGAAAACGATGACGGAAGAATTTAGATTGTCCAGTTTAGAGTAAAGAAAGGAAGAAACAAAGAAACAAACAAAAAAGAAAGACAGGAAGAAAACAAAGAAAGAAAGAAAGAAATAAGAAAGAAAGATAGAAAGAAAGAAAAAGGAAAACAAGAAAGAAAAAAGATGAAAAAAAGAAAAAAGAAAGAAAAAAGGAAGAACAAAGAAGAAAAAGACAGAAAGAAAGAAAATGTATGAAAAGAGAAAAAAGAAAGATAGAAAGAAAAAAGAAAAAAAGGATGAAAGAATGAAAGAAAAAGAGAGAAAGAAAAAAGAATGAAAGAAAAGAAGAAAGAAAAAAGAAAAGAAAGAAAGAAAGAAAGAAAGAGGTGACAGGTTAGCATGAAAATTAAAAAAAAATACATTTAAAAATAGAAAAAGCACAAGGCTAGAAAACGATGAAGAAAAAATTTAGATTGTGGAGTTTAAAGAAAGAAAGAAAGAAAGAAAGAAACAAACAAACAAAAAAGGAAGGAAGTAAAAAGAAAAAGGAAACAAAGAAAAAAGAATGAAAGAAAGAAATAAGAAAGAAAGATCGAAAGAAAGAAAAAAGCACAATGCAACAAAACGATAAATGGATGAACACCGGATTTTCTTAATCCTTTTTATATATATATATATATATATATATATATATATATATATATATATATATATATATCGGCGCATGTTATGTATCTAATTATATATATTTTTGACAGTATGATACTCATTGAAGCGTTCTACGCACAATGGTGTTGTGCATGCTTTGCATCAAGTCGTCACCATTTTCCCTTCATTTTTCTTCGAGAAGTATTCTTGGAGATATAGCACTGTTTCTGGCGTGATCATCTTTCAGATTTATTTGCAGACAAATACCGCAAGAACTATTGCAACCTCGTAAATCCATGTAAAGACCAAATGGTATTATTGCGAATGCTAGAATTGCCTATTAGTCAATAGAAGGAGGCCCGTATCGTAGCAAATAGTTTTATGCTAAATTGATGATGTTCGATGTTTTACAATGTAACATTAATTCATTATATATATATATATATATATATATATATATAAAAACTTTACATCAATCCTTCAGCTATCAATTAATTAATGATGAAAATGTTATTCAAGTAGAGTAAGATATCTTTAATCATTACACATACATGCAATTTATTTATATATCATTTATATATTATATAAGCGCGGTACTTATTGGAAAGCGCTCAATATCAGTGATAGAGCTAAAATATTTAGTTGAATTGGTGTGAGTTTGTGACCATGGTTTTCACGCAGGTCACAAACTGACACCAATCCAATTATATATATATATATATATATATATATATATATATATATATATATATATATATATATATATATATCCCCACGAAATCGCTAAAAAAAAGAACGGCCTTAAATTTGATGTAATAAATTTTTATCGGCTTAAATATGTATATCATTCTTAAGAAGAAACACCAAAGTATTTTTTGATTATTTTTAAATTTTTTTTACTCATTCTTAGCATGTCCGAAATTTTAGTTTAAAATGTTGTTTATTTCTGTCATCAAAATTACTTTAAAAAATTAGCTATCAGCCATTTTTTTCAAATTTTGTAAACTAAGTTAAAATCCTCGTTTCTAATTTTTCCAAAAATCAATTCTACGTTTTTCAAAATTTATTTGACTAAAATTAGCAAATTTAAAGATTATTTAAAATATTTTGAAACAAGCTTTTACTTACTTTTTTCAAAGAAAAAATTGTTCGAAATAAAAAGTAAGCGATCTTAACATCGTTGTCAATTTGCAAGTGCTGAGTGATGACTGTCATCACATATCGACAGCTAACGTGAGATTCGAGTTATCATACGGATGGTCATACGTGATGTAACTTTTTTTTTTTACATGAATCAGCTTATGTACTACCCCGTAATTAGTAAATAATAAAAAACAAAAAAATAGGATTCCAATTTCCTTTATTTTGTTATTTTATTACTGGAGCTTAAACCATAACTTTTATCTAAATATGTTTTATCAAAACATAGAATTTAACAATAATGAAATCTACGCTTACACTGAAGCCACGTGACGTTTTATAGCTTGTGATCTTCCGTACTTTTTAATGACAAACATTTTAAGCGCTTTTTATCAAAACATAATTATATTTCTTAATTACTGGGGATCATCTGATTGGTCCAAATTATACAATTTTCAAATCGCTAGACAATGACGAGCTAAGAAAGACAATTACAAAGGTTGATAGTGCTGTTAATAATTTTTATGATATTTCTAAAAATTCAATGAAAAAATTTTAAAAAATCGATTTAAAATTAAAGGAAATAAGAAATAATTGTATTAAAAATTCAATTTTCATTGAAAAAATTTTTTGCTTTCAGAAAATATTGTCTATATTCATAAGAACAAATAAAAACAAACAAAAGCATTTGAAATTAAATAGTATATTTGTTTTTATTGAGTTTTGTATGTTACAATTCAGAGCTGATTTTCAGGTACGGGAGCAAAATAAATAAAAAAAAAACATGATTTACATTCTTCAAAGCCTTGTGATCACTAAAAACCGATGGTACGAATTTCTAGAGTTTTTCATAAAATTAGATATGGGGGTGTTAATAAATATATAAAAAAATATTTCTGCCATGACTTTCATAAAAAAAAAGATATTTATAATAATTTCGATCATCTGTGAATAGTTTCTGAAAGTTTCATTAACATCTGACAATTATTTTTATTTTTGCAAGATTTTCCAAATTAATGTGTGTAATACAAAAAAAAAACGCGCTAAAAATTATCTATGTTATTTACTACTCAATGTTGCAACAAAGAGAAACAAGGTTTTTTAAATCAAAATTTAGAATATTCTAAAAAGATGGAAAAATTTTAAAAAATAATAAAAAAAAAATTTGGTCTATCCTCTTCATAAAAACATAAGCATTTTGACGATAAAATTTTGTTTTCATAAACTTTGGCGTCTTTTTCATCAGACTATGCTCTATTTTTTTAAATGTCGTAGAGATATATATATATATATATATATATATATATATATATATATATATATATATGGTGGACTCTCCTATCGTGAACGATAAAGGACAGATGAAATTTGTTAAAGCAGGATTTTGATGGCGTCTCTGCTTCAGAGCTTGACGAAGCTAATCACGGTGCCTCAGTCTGCTGTCTTCGAAACCCTTCAAAAACTTAATGAAACATGTCTTACGCCACCACTTTCGGTTTAATGATTGGGATTCCTAGATTTTCAGATCAAAGTTGAGATGTTTCAAGTTTTCTTTCAATTTGTCTTTGTAGCGTAATAGTGGACGTCCAACTGAACGCCTGGAGAATGGTAGCTGTCCATACAGCACATTTTGAAGTTTATGCTCTTCCATTCTCGCAACATGACCAGCCCACTTAAGTTGTATCTTTGCTCGAATGGTTTTGAATGCCTATGATGTTGTTACATTTCTTCAGTATTGCATTATTTTGACCTTGAATATATATATATATATATATATATATATATATATATATATATATGTAATAAAATATAGTTTTAAGTTATGCGATATTTATGGGTTCAAGTGTTCAATATGATGGCTATAGCGTATGTAAATATGAAAGTGGTCACTGAAGTCAACACACAGAGACCACAGTCTATTTCAATTGTCGCACCATGTACAAATAAAAATCAAATCACACAAAATATGATGGAAAATAAGGAAAAGAACATCAGCCTACAACAATAAATCCAAAAGTTGTAAATTCTGCTGGGGGAAGAATAGCTATAATTACCTTCCCAGACTAAAAGAAACTACTAATTAAACGATCAGAACTCATTTCAAGATACAAACACGAAAACAATTTTTTACTACGTTACGAAATCGAAAACTGAAAACAAACAAGAATAAACGAATATAAAATAAAATAAACGAAAATAAGTAAAATAAATGAATCCAAACCAATAAATAAATAAATTAATTAATTAAGTAAACAATAAACAAATTAACAAACCTCGAATGCACACATAAATAAATGTAATTGTAATAATAACAACGAACAATAAATGATCAAACGTTAAAAAACAAGACTATAAAAAGTAAAAATAAAATACTGCATCCGGATCCACAATTATTCGCACTCAATACACCCTAGAATAATTCGAAACATAACCGTTACCACACACCAAAATAATCGTTAGAGTAATATATATTTCTCCAATAAGATTTCTCGAACATTCAGACCGGTAGACGAAAATAAATACATTTTTGAATAAATAAACGTAGCGTCTACTGAAATACGAGTATCCATTAAAAATAACATTTAAGTAATAAGTAATGAAGAGAGTTAACAAGATATATATATATATATATATATATATATATACTCGACTCTCCCATCGAATTCGACTTATGAGGGTCAAGCAGATCAGTTCCGAGGAAACTGACAGCCTGACAACAGCACATGAGATTTGATTATAGTGGTGAAGGTTTCGTGCAGGACCATCCACCCTTTTTTGACCCTCCGCAGGTTTTGAATTCAGAGTTGTCCTTCTCCTAGATCAGTTGCCATCAAAGGCTATAGAACCCAGTTTGTCCTGCTATTTACCCATAGCTGGAGTGAGAAGAGGAGGATTCACACCTTTCCCAAGGGAAAATGTACGTAATGTAATGGATTCAAATGAAATTCGAACTCCGTTCTCCGATTCCTCAATGCAAGCCGCTAGCCACCGTGTCTCATATATATATATATATATATATATATATATATATATATATATGTGTGTGTGTGTGTGTGTGTGTGTGTGTGTGTGTGTGAACCAAAAATGGATATGAGCAATTCTGCTTGTAAGCAAGACGAATCAGAAGCGTAACAAAGAAATGCAAAAAAACAAGTGAAGTTTCACATGCAGCTTACTTACAA